TATTTATATAAGATTAATTGTGTGGAATGTGTATATAGGATGAGCTTGATTTTGTTTTGTTTTTATGTGAGCGGAATAAAAGGTTAGTAAAGAAGATTCTTTATAGTATCTTGCATTACTTTTAATATTTGAGACTACTTAACTTTTTAAGCTATTTTGGTGAATCTAAATTTTCCACTGATGGGTTTGTCTCGAATTTTTTTTCTTCGCGTGTGTTACTATTTTTTCGCGAAGTAGAATCTTGAAATGCTCTTAATCTGTTGATTTGTTGAATTTCATCTTCGATATTATTGACTTTTGGGTTCTGAATTTCCTATTCAGCTATGCAATACCTCTTTTTCATTGCTCCTTTGCCTTCACTACGATACTTTGCTTATCACCAAAATGGAGCCCAACCCGTCAGGTATGCATTTGCTAGATTGTCTATACTTGTAGCTTCCAATATGAGTTTGTCTACTTGTTGCTGAATATCAAGACTATCTGTGCCATCAAGGAGCGCCCGAAGTGACAAATATGATGTCTGCATAGGTGGTAGGCCGGCAAATGAATCTTTCAATGATTCAGCAAACTGAATGGGATTAACTGAACCTGAAAGGGATATGTCTTTTAAGGCTGAATTCTCGTCTTCTGCACGTCGTGAAGATCGGTACATAGAAAAGGAGTTGTTAGTGACATCGAAATCTTGTCCAGTAAGCTTAGCACGCACACGCGCTAGTGCTAAGTCTCCCTGTTGATTTCTTATTTCCTCTTCACCCCCATTTTCAAGCGTGTTTGTGGTATCCGTGGAGAGCGCCGCCATATGATGTAAAACCTTCGCAAAGGTTTTTGATAACTGCATAGAGCCCTTATCTTGGACAACCCCCTTGCCTTTAAGTATAGGAGGTTCGTTATTTGTAGCGTAAACAATTTCTGCATGGAAAGAAGTCACTTTCTCGCTACCCTCCGTTGGTACGGTCAATCGCCAATTGATGAGAGGATCGTAGATGAAGGTTTCTAAAATCGTGAGGAGGTTTTCACTGTTTCGACGCAGATTTCGCATCACGAGCTCACATGTCAAACGATACACACCTTCCACGCCAGTTATCCCTAGTGCTGCAACTAACAGACGGGTCAGTCTAAATGGTACAGCTTCGGCATAGAGTGTACGCTGCATTGCGACCTCAAAGCAATCTCCAAAGTCGATGTGGACAACCATCCCATTCGCGTTGAGCATAAGGTTATTCAAATGGCGGTCGCCAAGACCCAGAACATAGCCAACCATGGACATTGCCGCAAGGGAAAACCCGTACCTGTTACGATAGTTCAACCACTGTTCACAGCTGTCGTTGAGCTTCCAAAAAATACGACACAACTCGTCATCAGGTGTGCATTCCATCGCGTAGGTGAGTAAAGCCTTGCGCTGCTGCTTTGGCAGGTGATGATATTCGTCAATATTAAGTAAATCTCCTTTCTTGATTATCAAATTGATTTCCTCATATATAGAGACACCAGTTTCGCGTCGATGCGTCTCTAGCATTTTGTAAATGGTTTCAGTTTTCTCAACCCAGCCAATAATGCCAACATTGTTGGTTAACGGAATGACGACGTACTGCAGAATTGTAAGTCCAATCGAAGTGGCCGAATTGTCAGACATAAAAATAGTGTTGATGAGTCCAATAAATTGCATGACCCTCTCATCTTGCCGCATATCTTCGTGACCTTTGAGCAAGAAATAATATGTTTTCCCATCAGAAGCCTCTATGCCAAAACGTCTAGGCTTCTGTTTAGAGGGCATCACAGAAATATAGGTGCGGAACTTTTGTATCGTAACAAGTGAACTCCCATGAGAAAAGGTGCCTGGTACCGCCACGATGCTGTCGCGGATGCTGTCAAGGGTCGGCGAGATATCGTTCATATACAAGCGACGCTCACACAAGATCTTAGAAAGATGAGTGTAGGCTTGCTTCAGAAACACCCACGCCCTATCGAAAGCCCTTTCCTGAAGTTCAGCCTTCGCACGCATCAGAAGTTGTCCAAAAGTTTTCTCGAAATTGCGCTCGTTTGGGGTCACAGCATGACCTAGTTCGTCGTACAATGGGGCGAGAAGCTTCATAATTCCGACTGCATCGTCAGGATTGTAAGCCGCTTGCTGAATCGCGGCATGCCACTTTTCAGTCCAGAGAATGGCAATGCGAACCATTTCATTACTGATCAAGGAAGCTTCGTCCACGAGTTGATTGTTTGTGACGCGAATACCAGCTAATACCTCCTCCGCCATCCGCCGTCGGATCGCTTCTGGGGACTTTTCGGCAACAGTAAGGGGATAAATGAGGGCATGCGGGTATGAAGTGCCAACACGTACCAAAAGCTCTTCCAGAATAAATCTTGCTAGCCTTGCAGTGATGCCAATCCGTGCAATAAGCTGAGGAATAACGTGCAACCAGACATGGTCCGGCAGCATCCGAACACCCTTACTGACCGCCTCGTTTAAATCCGCAACGGTGGAATGACCAAACCAAATGGATAAGATTAACAAGATGTCTTGCATCACATTACTGTTAGAATGGTCACTGAGAAGCTGAACAGACTTAAAGAGGGCAACAACTGCAGAAATTTGGTGCTCCGTCTGGACTTTCAACGGTATCGATTGCTCACGTGAGAGATCATAGTGGAGAATACCCAGGGTGTGGTACGCTGCCGAATTGTCTGGGGCGAGCTGTGCAGCCCGAAGCAATTCCTCAATGGCCTCTTCACCATTTCCCGGGGACAGACTCATCGTCCACTCACCTAAGAGGAGCCAGTTCATACCCCACTCCCTCGCTTGGGGATCGTCATTTTTAATTTGAACCTGCAGTAGGATGTTCTTTAACAAGTTGTATGCTTCCTGTCGACTTTTGGTTTCAGAGAGATGCATTATGTACGCATGGATCAGACCAGGGTCCTGCTCCAGAAGGACATTCACCGGGGGGTCGTGCCCCAGGAGCTTATCAAGCATTTGTTCAGCAATTTGGTGCCAGTGCATCTTAGTGAAATTGTGTATTGCCATGATCTCTGAAGCCAGGTCCTCCTGTGGTGTTAGCACTAGTGAATTTATAGATATCATTGTTTTCCAGTTTGATGACCTTGAGGAAAGGTTTGAAATTCGGCGTTGCCACAATTTTTTGAGCATCAGCCTTCGATCTGGTTGTGAACGAACAAAAGAGACAAGTTCCTCAAAATGAGTCAAGTTTTGCAACTCCACAATTCCGTTGTAGGAGCGGCTGTAGCTTTCATTGAAAGAATCTGAAAAGGATTCAAGCATGGACTCTCGACTGGCTTGGGTGTACGCAAGAAGTTGATCATACTCCTTGCGGCGAAAGAGTGCGGCGCAGCGCTCCACCTGCCCAAACTTCTCAAGGAGAAATGGATCCGAAGCCAGTTGGTCGATTTTGTCCCACTCACCCATCAGAAACGCCGCCTTGGCGCGATGCGGTGCGACCTCACGTTTGGATTTCTCGTCCAAATGCCCCCAATGCAGTTCAATGACCTCATTCACCTTTGCCATGTTGCCCAGTGCCTCCTCACATCGCAGCATGCCTAAAAATGCGTGCAAGTTCACAGGACCGTCGCTATGACTGTTGAGGAAAAGCTGATACCGTTTAAGTGCCTCTTTCCACCAATGAAGCTGCTCAAGAATATTCAGCTCCTCAACACATAGCCTCTTTGGGGAAATAATGCTATCAGAGAAGTTATTCGTAAGATACTTAACAAGTCCGCTAGCTGCCATGGTAAGGTTTAAATGACCATAAAATTCGATCAGTCGCTCCGCGACGCCTAGTAGACGCCGCATTGCCGCTTCATTTTCAGCCTCTGTATTCCTTGATAAGTCCGCTTTGAGTTTTTCGAACAGCACCTCATTGAAGTAAATGGCCTTAGCGTGCATCTGGGACTGAAAAGCGACTCTGGCTAGCTTCTCAATGTCCATGAGAATACACATCTCGGGTGATAAAAGCTCCTCAACCGAGTGAGAAATAGTGAGCTCAATACGATTAAGGCCCTCAATCATGCCGGCGATATCTGAGATGTTATGTACTGGATTGTGGTTAATCGCGATTAGCTGCCCCCTAAGCGGAACGCCTGAAATAGCACCAAAGCCATCGGGCGTCAGCTTCGTGATGACAATTCCGTGGTTTGGGTATTGGTCGTACTTAATTCCAAACTTCATGTCGGGACTGGGTCGCTCAACGATGTAGACCTTTTCCTTTTGAACGGTAACAAGTCTTGGCTTTTGGCAGACCTGTTTGGACTCCATGAACTCAGCTAAGGTAAAAAGAGTCTGCTTCGTGTCCATCGGGGAAAGCTCCAGAGCGTTGCTAAAGATGCGGAGAATTTTTATCTGCGCCTGTTGTGGCAAATTCGAGATGATAGCCACTGCTGCAAAAGGAAACAAATCCCGTGCTAACTCCCTATTGCGGTCTGCGGTTGCCGCAGCGCAGCGCAGCGGCGAATACGGTGAATTCTTCAAAAGCAGCACGGAGGTGTTGTGAAGCCATGAGATCCACGATTGCTCACGCTTGCAGCTCTTGGCGGAAGGAATCATGGCAATGGCATTAATAATTTCACAATCCACCACCCGCAACATCTCAACACACTGCTCAAGCTTCAAGATACCCAAATTGCGCCTCAAAGCTGAATTTCGATCTTGTGCTTTGCGTGTGAAGAGATTAAAACATGCATTTTTATCTGGTCCAGCAGTGAATCGAAAGTCAATGACTGTCTGCCCATCGATGTGAGCTACCGCAAGAATTTCATAATCCTTTTCAGTCAGGTGAAAGAGAGATTGAAGTTCTTTCGTAAAATTTTGTTTAGAAAGTCTAGGCAGATGTGAGACTACTCGAAGCGGTAGGTCGGGATTAAAATCTGCGTTGTTCCCTATCGGAAATTGAACCTTCATCCCGCACCCAGCCAACTGTATAAGTTTCTGGAAGTAGCCACTAGGATAACCACTTTGTTCAGCAACATGCTCAATAAGTCTAATAAACCGCTTAGTTGGCTTTTCTAATACATTCATGAGGTTTGCCAACGTGTCCAACCCAATATTCATCTCCTCCTCACTGTCAGAGAGCTCAATGTACCACAAAATGATGTGCACGATTTGTGCACAGCAATCCTTAATTAATCGCATATCTTTGAGCATAATGTAATTGAGAAAATCGAAGCAAGCATCGTTAATGACCTTCATCTTGGGTCGATGCGGGGCTGGTGTGGCCTTAGCTGGTTCGATACACCGCAGTACATGCGGTAAAATGAGCTGAATGTCTTTTTCATGCATAACTGAGGAGAAGGACTCAAGTGACTTCACCACACGCTGGACAAGGTCTAGATCGTTCTTGTTTTGAAGAAGACGCTGATGAATAAACTCAACCGCCCAGCGGTGGTCCTGCATCTCCTGCGATGGAAGACCTTTGGCCAGTTCATCTAGTAACTGTACGACATACGTGCTGAGCGGCTTCTGAGTTGCCTGTGGCATCGAGGAAAAGAGCTTGATAGATTTCAGAAGCATACGTCCGGTCGCGGAGGGGACGACCTCCTTGTACTGCCGCAAAAGAACCGCCAGATCGATCATGAGAAGCAACGTTGTTTCATACAAATGGGTCTTATCAAGCTCACAAAGCCACATCTGCAGCTGAGGAAAAAGATGCGTAAGAAGAAGAGCCTCTTGGTTACCAGGGATCTCCCTTAACATGCTGCGTATCGCCGCTAGAATTTCTGCCTGCGGCCTAGGATCAATCGTCAACTGTAGTGCTTTGACCATATAGTAAAGTACTACAGATGGGTAGCGCTCAGCCATATTGGTGTGCAATCGAAAGTGAGGCTTGAAGTGTGTGAGCGCGGGCGTCACCACCACTTCTTTTTGTACCTCATCGGTATCCAGAACACTCAGGATAGGGCGTATTTTCACCGGGTTGACGGCGCCAATGGTGCCGATAACTTTCATAGCGGCAACGACCACGTAATTATCCTCTTCGTCCTCCCATCGAATAATTCGGACAATACTACGGTAAATGTCAATGAGAATCTTGTCATTGGGGATATGAAGTGTTGTCAAAAGGGAGCAAAGGGTGGTTAACGCGCAATGCCTGCGTCGGCTGGAGTCGCTGCTATTAATAAGGTCAATAATCGGAAGAGAAATTTCAGAGAAGCTGCAGTGATGGTCCGGCCCAGAGTGCTCCATAATGGAATTCAGAAGCTCCAACAAAGCAATCGATAGTTTCTTCGAAACAAAGGGCTGGTGAACAAGATGCTTCAAGATTACTCGCTCGACCGATTCAGGATCCAACAAAAGAGAATGATGATCGCTGCACACTTGCAACAGGCCAACCCGGTAGATGGAAAGAGAGATGGACGAGTTGAGTGCGTCCACGTCACGTAAAACGTACCCTTGCAGACGCTCTAACTCCGGGTGGATTATCTCAGGATAATATAAATAAAGCCTACAGAGCAGAATCAAAGACTCGTATTGGGTAGCTTTAAACGTGTCGTTACTAGCGATATAGATGGCATTTATATTGTCCGGCAAACAGAGATACGGGTAGAAAGGGGGCGAGAAAAGCTTCAAAGCTTTGTGGCGGACCGTTGGATCTCGATCGGCAACCGCAACATCTAAAATGCTTTCAACCGCGTAGTTGATGCGATTATTTAAACCTTTGGGATTTTCCTGGGACGAATTCTCTCTTGTGAATATAATTTCGCAAAGTGCTACGACCGTTTCTAGCGCACCAAGCCGCACCGCTGGGGTGTCGTGAAAAAGCATTTCGACTGCATCCTCAAGCTGATTTGTCCGTTCTAGTGTTGTTAACATGGGCAACGAACGAATCAGAACCGGATCCGTCATCGCCATGGATAGAGTGATTGGGAGCGACTGAAACTCGGGACGGTTGAGATCTAACTTCTTCCCTTTAAAACGAATCAGTGCATTCAGTTTTCCATAGTTCACTAAATCATCATCGGAGTTCATATACACATCAATAACTGAATAAATGGGCTCAATTACCTTCTCGCCATACCGAGATCGTATGAGCTCAAGGACTTCGAAAATTTTCGGGGTATATGGGACGATTCGGTAAATACAGTTCTGCATTGCCTCGACACACGACGTGACATTGCTCAGCCCACGTTCGCTTTTTAACACCTCCACCAGAACATCCAAGCACTGCCCTACCACCTCAAGCTCATCTGATTCCGTAAACATCAGCACCCGAGACGACAGACGCTCATACAGGACGTTATCCTTACCATACAACACGTACGCGACTTTACCCGTAGTGTACGCGAGGGCCGCCTTGGTTTGCTTCGAAACGAAGGACCAATCTCGCTCCGTCAGGAACCCCGCGATCGCCGGCAAATTCCACGACGCGCTTCGAAACGCCGGCGCCGTGGCCATGCTTGAGAGGATGTAAAGAACGCCTTTGAGCTGCGTTTCCCCCGTCACGGTCGCCATGTAGTGCGTCATCGTATCCGCGATCTGCGTGGCCATCTGGAGTGAAACCTCATAGCAGTTCTCCGTTACCATGATGTTCAACAAATCGATCACAGCGGTGCGGTACCACCCGTTCGTCGTCTCCACCGCCGTCTGCAGAAGGGCAGAGGGGAGGCAGACGGATTTCAGCAGCTCCAGCTGCGCGGGGTTCCGTTTGATGATCGGCGCTGAGGTGGCGATAAAGGCCGCCAAGATATTACAGCTCGCGGCCCGACGCGTCGTTTTCGGGGAGGTCTTCAAAATACTCGTGAGCTTCGAAAGGTGCTCCTCAATCATATCTGTGGTGGAGAGCGCGTGTTCTTTCAGAACCTCAGCCGCGGTCTCCAAAATCACCCGGCAATCCTCGCTGGATTCCTTCTTCAAAGCATGATTTAGAAGAAGAGATAAACAACGACTCCGTTTCTCGTGCAAATCACGCCATTGTAGATCAAAAACTACTTCAAATACACGACATCCTTTATCTGTCGAAGAATCAAACACACTATCTACCAGACGAAGAACCATCTGCTGTAACCGTTCATTCCCCGCAATGGTGTTAGCATGTGCAAAAAGGGTGTCTGTGAGTGCATTTAAGCACTCCTCCAAACGCATCGGTCGTGATTCAGGTGTGGAAATGAGGTTTGAAAAAATATCACTCAGTTGATGACCTAAAGCAATTGTGTTATCCCCATCCATGAGTAAAGAGGCAGGAGCTCCCTTGGGGCTTGAGGGCGGGGATTCGTCGTCAAGATACATTTTTCAAGAAACTATTTACTACTTAAATTGCCACCCCTCTTATGAGAAAAAAGTAACGGATTTGAAGGTTGATAATGTCACTGAAAGAATATGCAAATGTAACCCTAACTGAAAAAAAGCACTTGATGCGGAATACAGTTCTACGATAAAAATAAAAATCAGAAAAGGTTACCCCGCATAAATAATATGTCACCCAAAGCAAGCTTCAAAATAATCAGAACAATAAAGGGCTCATAGATTATGATGAAAGAAACTCGTTAGTCTAGGAAAGCCTGAAGAAAAACATCTAATAAACGTAGCATCATAAATATAGACGTTTTTTTTATTGAGCTATAGGCTGATAATAATAGCATTTCATTTTCCCTACATATAATTTCACTACACTGGATCTGAATAAACCTAAAAGAAATCAAAATCGAGCATAGGTATGATATACTTTCGTCATTTTTCGCCTCCATACGTATAATATTAGCACTGAGGTCTGCATGTAAAGTAAATAAAACGCTGAGCACAAGCATAGTAAAAAGGTCTACAAAAGAAAGTAGAAGCCTAACGGGTATAAAAGGCGCATAACTTTGAATTTTTTTATAGATATTGCGTGGCCCAAGAGCAAAAATAAAACCACAGAGTAAAGTTGAGCAAAAGCAATGCTAAAGCATAAAAATAAACGTTCAGAAGAAAGAAATATCTCCGCCCACAATCAAATCTTGATCACTTATGTTAATAAGACCATCCAATATAGGTAACTTTAGCCAGTTGTGTGTATAAAACATGGGAATGATCAAAAAATTTACAAATTCAAATATCCAGTTCCTAATTGCCGTAGTATTCAATGGACCCATGTTCGTCTCCAGTAGGGTTATATTTAAATCCCTTAGTGGCAGCACATCCAAGGACAGTTCATTGCCGCACGATCCGTCAAAACGCGCATTCGCAACACCCATCACAAAATCTACACTAAAAAGAGCAAGCGGAATGGTATTTAAAGAGGCATCCATGGATTTTTCGAACCTTGTGCCCTCTGTACTGTAGTGCTCAAAATGCTGTTTTGCCTGTTTCATTGTCTTTATTAGAACAACATCAAACGGGCGGGAAGTGGTTGTTCTTTTCGTAACCGCCGCCTCCTTTTCGGGTATATCCGCCAACATCACAACGCTGAACCTGGCATCGCGAATAATCATCTCAAGGGAGTTGTTGTAGGTATAAAAATCACCCTTGGTGTTAGCGGAGTATTTCACTTGTGGTCCCTTTGTGGCTGCCATCATGATGGCTAGTGGGCAGTTCGGACAAAGACGATAGGCATGCGGTAAAATATACCGCAGCGTCGTGCTGTTAAACCCTGGAGGGAGAACAAGTGTGAAATTCAGTAAATTCCTCCTTTGGGCGCGCTGTAAATAGTGGTTGATACTCGCAGATGGCATACCCACCACAATATCCCTCGATGGAAACTGCCTGAGCGCTGAAGGAGATAATAGCGGAGAAGTTAAACGCCTGTAAGCGTTTCGACGTTGCGTTAAAGTATCCGGAAGCAAGTCCACTTCTATATAGAGTCGATCTTTGGTCATATTCAACTCATAAAAATGAGAGGGAATGGACCATAAAAACTCCTCGGCCCGCGTTTTGAACTCAGAAGCTAATATTTTTGGCAGTTTCTCGCGCACGTTTTTTTCGGCAAATTTGTTAATTTCGCCAATAAAAAGTTGCGCAATGCTTTCCTCAACGTTACATAGAAAGCCATCACTTTTGTGGTGGATATCCATGTTGCCCCATGTAATCTCAGTGTCCTCGAGCTCCAGTCTTAAAGAGCCGTTGTGAAGGATGTAAGGCTTGCTGTTCAGGCTCACCGAAGTTTTGTTTAACTCAGTTGAAAAGGTACCTTTACAAGTAAAAACACCATACTTAAACTCAAATCTGGTTTCTGGGATGCTGAGAGCGACATCAATAGCTTGTAGTGTCAGATTCTGAGCATCCGGATAAGCAAAGCGCAGGTTAAAAGCGGCAATACTAAAGAAATCCATTCTCATGGAATCAACGGTTATATGATCCATTGTCTGTGAAGGAAAAGTGTGATTAACCACTCCTTGTTCAATAACGGGAATCAAAAGGTTCGCAGTAAACGCGCAAAATCTATTGGAGACTGCAACAGATATTCTAGAATCTGTATTTTCGCTCGAATTTAGGGAAACATACACGGTCTTAGGATGCTCACGCAGTTTTATTTTGCAGTTTACAATAGTAAGGAGGACAAACGTAAGAATTGCCATTATGGCAAGACTTACTAAGCGGCCTGATTTTTTCATATTCTGTCAAAGTTTATATTTCCTTTCTTGTATATCAAACACTAACAGATATATAAAAATGAATACAAATAGATCAGTCTGCCCCTAATCCCAGTAGATTTCATAAAATGCTATAGTGAGTTTAGAAAATAGGGGGAAAAGAAAGCATAAATGCATATACAAAATTAGTAATATTAGCTAAAAGATATGCATATATATTTATATATATTAGTGCATAATAAGTATTTGCATGTGCCTTGCCAAGCTGGAAAATCATGAATTCACATGAAGATTATAGAGAATAAATAGACAGAAAAAGTATATTATATCAAGAATTTACGAAGCGAATGGTGAATAGAAATATAGCGTCACTTTCCTGAGATAAGCGTTGATGGTGGCTCGTGATATGGCGAAATGAAGCCAGCTAGTCATAAATATCCGCGATGTGGAGAGGAGTGTAGATCGTTCAGGAAGAGCCCCACGTGGAGGCTCCCTTCCTGCGACCTCACCGAAATTTCGCATAAATCTAAGCAACACTCTGAGCGTGATGGGTTTTAGCTCACTCGTGTAAAACGAAAAGAAGGTACGAAAGGCATCGGATTGGAAAGAACACGGCGAGAATATCTGAGTTTCCATTTTCAGTGCTCAGAGTAACCCTTATATTGTCTAGTCAATATAATTACTCCATATAGTTGGAATATTATTCACAAGACAGATGGCGTTTCAGAGTTATGGGGATGCAGATAGTTCAAAAGAAAGATGCATACATATATACGAATGTAGATCACACACCTTAGAGGTTTCAAAATTCATACTTCGAAATTGAACCTGACTTTCTCTTCAATAATTGAGTCGAGTTAGAGGATGTATCGATTTAACATCCAGCTTAAACGTCATATAGAATAGCCATTAACTAATCTGGAAAGCTTGATAGTCATGCGTGTGCACATTCACTTCACTGCTTGCCCCCTTGTCTGTGTAGAGAAGGAGACTACAAAATCATCAATTGCATCGATATCGAGCATGCGTATTCGACCCCCCCCTCCCCCCCGCCATCCCTCGTTATGATAAAACGAGAATTTTTACCGAGGAAAATGTGTGTCTAAATAGATGACATTGGCAGGCTGATCGGAGAATCCTTTATCCTAGCATAAGAATTAACGTTAGGGCAAGATTTTAATAATGACAATGAAGGCAACATGCGTGAACATGAAGCAGAAACACGTGAGAGAAACAGAAAAGTTTTGATTCTGCATTTTCTGTGAGATATTAAAGAGTAACGTTTTCATTTGGATTCTCAAAAAGAAATATTCCATAGGTCTTCGCGTTTTTATACGTATCACTCACTATTGGTGTATAACACCAGGGTTAGGCGGGGTTCAAACGTGTCGAACCGGAATCTTCGTGATGAAAGTATTTCCGTATTTCCCCACCCCTCGCTTTACAGACTTCCACCAGAACGATCCAGCACCCTCTCCACCGATGTCATCCTGACCATCCCTCTCAGTAAAACGGGGGAAGCAAAGCGAAGCGGGAAAAAATAGTTTCCCCCCCTCCCCCCCCCCACTCCACACACACACAAAA